AAAAAAAAAAAAAAAAAAAATCAGATCTGGCTAGGCATGGTAGCACACACCTCTAATCCCAGCTACTCGGGAGGCTAAGATGGATGATTATAAGTTCAAAGCCAGACTAGGCAACTCAGGGAGATGCCATCTCAAAATAAAACATTAAAAAAGCACTAGGGATGTAACTTATGCAAACCCTGGGCTCAATCCCCAAAAACCACTCAACAAGGAAAAAAAAAACAAAACAAAGAAAAACAGATCTGGGCCAGGTATTTAGCTCAGTGGTGCCTCCACCTGCCTCACAAGCGCAAGATCCCAAGTTCGATCCCCTGTACCCCCCCAAAAAAATGTGTTAACTCTGCTCACCTAAAATCTGGATGATGCCCAGTACATGGTGACCAAGAGAACTATAGTATGTCACGTGCAAACAACACAATACCATGCAATTGTAAGAAATGATGAGCTAGCAATACCAACGTATCTTAAAAATATAACCTCAGGGGATGGAAATGTACTTTATGATAGGACACTTGCCTGGTATGCATCAGGCCATTGGTTCACACTGCAAAAGATAGACAGACAGAGACAAAACAAACCCATATCATTCAGAGTTATAGGTACCCTGACAGTGATGTCAGGAAAAAGAGAGGGACAGAAATGGAAATCAGCTACAGAAGAAAACCACCTGCAAGGCGGGGACCCTACCCTGCATTCCTTGGGGCTCTCTTGCAGTAAAGCCCTCTACCAGAACCATACCTGTAACTCCACCTGCGGCAAATCCCCCAGCAATGTGCAATCCACATCCCAGTAGATACTAAACTCCGCCACATCTAATCGTTTTTTCCGCATCAGTTTCTGTACCTAGGGAAGAAAGACAGGAAACAGGAAACAGGATGACTGACTTTACTCATGAATATATTAATGCAGACAACAGAGACATCAAGCACTTTGCAAGGAAACAAAATTGAACTAAAATATGGCTTTGCTCTTACAGAGACTAAAGTCTTTGGGGATACAAACAGGAACACAAATAACTATAATTATGCAGAAGCAACAAAGGAAGCACACATAAGATGTATGAGCAAACAGAAAAGAAAATGTCACCATGCAGATAAGTGTCTACATTTCTCACAAACAGTGGAGGCCCAACATCTTCAGGAAACAGAGAGTACACCTATGTAACGAGCCCCGGGTAGTCTTAGGACAGCACAGGGACATGTGCATAAATACATATTCAGAGTGGGGAATGAGTTAAGTATGATACTGAGAAAAGCCTCTTGGTATCCTACTAGGGATACTGCTTGGATAGTGTCCTCTTCTCCCAAGAGAAGTCCCGTCCACCCACAGGAGGTAATCAAGTTAAAATGAGGTCAGGCTGGATGAGTGTAGGTCCCAATCTAATGAGTGGTGTCTTTATCAGAAGAAAAAAAAAGATGCAAAGGGGAAAAGGCTTGAGGGAGAGACAGAAATGGGAGTCAGGCATCTGTAAGTCAAGAAATGTCACATTTCCAGCAGTTACCTAAAGCCAAAGAGGCAAGGGACAGATCCTCCCTCAGAGCCTGCAGAAGGAACCAGCCCTGCCAAACCCCTCTGATTTCAGATTTTTGGCCTCCGAACTCAAAACAAATTTCTGTTGTTTTAAGCCATGTAGTCTATGGCAATGTGTCAAGGCAGCCCATGAAAATAAACACACCAGGAAGAGAAGTTTATACCACAGTAATGATTCCAGGCTTCGCACTGATAAAGTGTCACAGAGCCACTCAATATGGCTTATTCAGTGAGTTGGTTGGTTGGTTGGTTGGTTGGCTGTTTCTGGCACTAGGGAATGAACCCAGCAAATGCTGAGTTACATACACAGACCCTTTTGTTTCTTTATTTGGAGACAAGGTCTTGCTCAGTTGCCCAGGCTAGCCCCAAACATAGCCCCTCCTGCCTCAGCCTCCTGAGTAGCTGGTATTACAGGCATCCCCATCATGCCCAGCCCGCTCTGAGCGTTGATGTAAGCAAATACCAAAAGAAGTACAGAACTGTGCAAAGGTGTAAGGCAGAGCTTCCCCTTGGTATACCAGAAATGAGTAAGTCATAAATGTGTCAAGAGAACAAGTAAGTTTTTGAAGCAAATTACATTTTACAAACATTTGCTTACTCCAAACTAAACACTTGTCATCCCCATGCAGCCATCACCATTTGCCCTGGTGCACTCCACAAATGCCATCCTTTTCCTATGTGACTGAGAGGTGGAAAGACTGGGAAGCACTGGTACAGAATGAATCAAAGAGTGGAGGGTCACAGGACAGTGTGTCAGTTCCAGGCAAGTCGCGTGAGGAAGGAGAGTAAGGGACACATTTGACTGCTGAGGAACAATTAGCAGGACACTGTGACCACATGGATAGGGAGGCAAGAATAACCAAAGGAAGGACGAGTGTGAGACTTGTAGGTATTAGCACATGCTGCGGAGCAGTAAGGGAATAGAGGCAAGAATAGACGCAAATGGTTCAGGCTCTGCAGCCACAGGGTCTCTACTGCAGGTGCTCAGCTTTGCCACTGTGGCACAAAAGCAGCCGGGCCCAGCCAAGCAGAGACACGCACCTACCATCCCAGCCCCAGGGAGGCTGAGGCCAAAGCAGAGCGAGCCTGATCATGTCTCAAAATCACAATAACACAGCCAGGCAGGGTGGTGCATGCCTGGGATCTCAGCACTGAGGCAGGAGGACTGCTGCAAGCTCAAGGCCAGCCTAGGATACACGAAAGTTCAGGGCCAACCTAGACTATTAGGGAGACCCTGTCTCGGGGCGGGGGAACCATGCCGGGGAATACAGATTTGCCCATGGGCCATCCTGTGCCTCCCCCACTCTGGAGCAGGTACCCCGGCTCCAACTCTGCACCTAAGCATCCTCAGCTATAGCACAAGGACAACACTGGCAGGGAAAACTAAAGAGAATCAAATGAGTTAGCACATGGAAAGCACTAGCAGCAGTTCCTCACATGGAAAACGGCTCAAAAGCTACTGTTGTTTTGTTAAATAAAAAATTACATAAAGTCACTGTTTCAGGGTAGGGCTGTGCACTGGGCCCTAACAGGCCAGACTACAAATCAGAATGGAGTCACTGTGCGCAAGTTCCACCTCACTGAAACTAAGCTGTTTATCTGACCTTCCCCAAACCAGAAGAAATGGGCAGTTATCAGCCAATTTCCCAATCACACCAGTGTCAACTGGTACGACAATGAAGATTTTCCTGTCTTCCATCCTTACATCTTTATTCCTTATAAAATATAACCTGAAGAAATTTGATGCTAACCAAAGTTATTTTTCAATGGCCCTGTCCATAACTTACAAATAAAGTAACTCTGAAAGGACCAATCAACTTTTTGCTTTTTGTTTCTGCTTTCCTCAGCCTTTCTCCATTTGTTAACACCAACCTCTTCCACTCAGCCCATCAAAATACTTGTTCTGTTTTATGGAATGAAGTGTTGCTTAATTCCAGAAAATAAAGCCAAAAATTTAGGATCCATAAGTTGTCGCAGTGTTTTTCTAACAGTCAGTAACATGTTATGAAATGAAAGAAAAAAAAGTGGTTTCAGGGGGCGTGAAACAGGCAGATGGAACACGGTGCATCGCTGTGGAGCCGTGGGGGGTGGTGAGCTTCCAGGCTGCCGCACACAGAGGCCAATGTGCCCTATGTCATCTGGCCACGGCTCTGCTTCCTTTATATCCTTTACCGTAACCTGGGGTAAAGCATCTCCTTGACTTCTGTGACACGTCTAGCAAAGAATCCAACCTGACAATGGATCGTGCGAGCTGAGATTTATGCCTGGTCAGTCGGAAGCACAGTTTACAGCCAGCAGTTTCCCAATGGCATCTGAAGCAGGGCAAACCATGAGCCGGACTTTACCCTACAGGGCCTGCAGAGGGTCTAGCTGGAGTCACACTGGAGTAAAACTCCCTTACACCTGGGGTCAAAAGTGACATGTAAAGAGTATAAAGAAAAAGAATGTTTTATCCAACAAACCCAAAGCACCACAGAGGCATTCCATAATTAGTTTTTTTTTAAATGCATGTATAGGCCAGAGAGAGGTGAAAAACGGAGTGCAGGACATGGAAATCACCAGGCATGATGGCACATTTAGGAGGCTGAGGCAGGAGGATTGCCACAAATTCGAGGCTAGCCTGGGAGACATAGTGAGTTCAAGGCTGGTCTGAACTGCATGGCGAGACCTTGTCTCAAAAAAAAAAAAAAAAAAAAAAAAAAAAAAAGATATGGAAACCATCAGCAAGGATCTCCAGGTAGCAGTTAAAACTGAAACTGAAACAATGAGCTTCCCAAGGAGTGCAAGTAGAAGAGGACCAAGGACGAAATCCCTCCTGCACCTCAGTTTCCTTGGGTATAAAATGAAAATGATGTGACCAAAGTCGGAAAATATTAATTGTTCCCTGTCTCAGCGATTATGTGCTGTAGACAGACCAAAGATCTACATACCTACCGTGGAACACAGCAGGAAAGAGCGCAATCTCATTCCACACAGAGTGAGAAAGGCAGAGCCCCAATTCCCTAGAACATTGCTTCCTTCCTGGTCTGCAGTCCTATTTCATACTCACGGGCTCATTCAGAGCATTCTGCATGGACACATTCTTAATACAGACACCAAACGCCAAAGGACGGGAAGGATTGGTAATGTCATCTTCAAAGCGTAAATGGACATCTTGAATTTTTAACTGTGAAAGGGAGAAAGAAGGAAAAACACTTAGACAACTTCTGCGGATAGAAAACTGCAGGTAGGAATCAAACTTCCCTTGAGTAAACCTCTCCACTAATGTAAACCACAAGCATTTTCACGAACAGAACACACATATCCAGTACGCTGCAAGTTGCTGAGAGTTAAATATTTTTCAGTACAAAGGAATGGAACCCAGAATCTCATCCATGCTAGGCAAGCACTCTATGATATATTTATTTAGATAGCATCTCACTAAGTTAGCCAGGCTCAGCCTACTGAGTACCTGGGATTACAGGCCTGCATCACCACAACCAGCAAGAATGAGGTTTCTTTGTGAACAGTGCTACCTCTAGAAGAAAGGCAAACTTTCATTAAATCATTTCAGAAGATAATTCAATGAAACATTTAGCTGGGCACAGTGGTGCATGCCTATACTCCCAGCACTCTGGGAAGCTGAGGCAGAAGGACAGCAATTTTGAGGCCAGCTTAGCAAACTTCAGTGACTTAATGGGACCCAGTCTCAAAATTTTAAAAATGGGCTGAGGGTGTCAGTCTGAAGTGTGAAGGCCCTGGGTTGGATCCATAGTAGCAGGAAGGGAGGGAAGAAGGGAGGAGAGTTAAATAGAGTAATACCACTACATCCAGATAATTGGTCTTCCCATTCTTTCAATATCTTAATCTTCTTTCTTATGCCCAGGAATACCAGCAAGGTGCATAAACTCTGTATAAATCTATGTAAATACTATATGCATTTATTTCCCTTGCCCCTGTAAGTGGGCTATAGAAAAGGGACTTAGCTTCAATGAATTAAAAAACAGTAGCAGAAAGTAAAAAGACAACAGATAAAATGGGAGCAGCTCCTTCCAAATCACATATCTGATAAAGGAGTAGCTTCCAGAAACACACCAAGAACACTCAACAATAAAATGATAAACCAAAAACAATAAGAGTAAAGTAAAAGATATATATATAGAGGGGGGGGAGAGAGGGATTATTTTTTAAAATAAACAAAAGATTTCAACAGATATTTCTAACCCCTCCCCACAAAGGGACATATGGCACCAGCAGAACAGCTCAGTGGCAGAGCAGGGCCTAGCGCATGCGGCACAGGCTCCATCCCCAACACGTGTGTAAATGTATATACAGCCAACAGACATGGAAAGATTTCAACATCATCAGCCCTCATGGAAATGCAAATCAGAACCACAAGAGATCGCTTCACACCCAGTAGTATGGATATAACCAAAACACAGACAGTAATAATTGTTGAGGAGGTGGAGAAACCAAAACGCTGATACACTGCTGGTAAAACTATACTATGGTATAGCCTCTTTGGAAAAAACTTTGGTAGTTCCTTAAAAGCAACCCATATGATTCATTAATTCTACTCAAGAAAAATGAAAACATGTTCACATAAAATGCTATACAGATGTTTTAGTGACATTATTCATAAAAGCCAAGAAGGAGAAAAAAACCCCAAACATCCATCAGCTGATGAATGGAAAACAAAATGTGGTATATCGTGAGAACTGCAGAAACTCTTTGCATAAACAATCCATTCAAAAGAGAGCTGGGGACTTAGCTCAGGTACAGCACTTGCTGTACCTGGGTTCAATTCCTATACTGCCAAAAAAAGGAGCTTTTCAGAGGGGGGGCACACCTGTAAACCCAGCACTCGGGAGGCTGAGGCAGGAGAATCACCATAAGTTCGAGGCCAGCCAGAGCAACACAGTGAGTTCAAACTAGCCTGAACTAATAGTAAGACCCTGTCTCAGAGAGACAGAGAAAAACAGAAGGAGAGGGGCTTGACCAAACTTTAGCCTCTAACACAGCCTCTAGCAGTCTGAGGCTGTACTGCCAAAGATAATTCAGTCTCCTTTTGAGTTCTGCCTGGAAAAGCTCAGGATTGTCAAAGAATCTGCTGTTTGTTCTAGCCGACACCTGACATAGACCGCTGACCTTCTTTCTTACGGCATTACTAAAAAGGGACTACACTGGGAATCCTCTCAGGCAGGCAGGTCCACAGGTAGGCAGGTGACAGGCAGATGGAACTCAGGAATGCCATAGTAGGGGAGTGCTCTCTGTCCCCCGTCACAGTGGAAGGACAGAACACTGTCTGCTAGCAGATGCACATTCACGCTGACTAACACTTTGTAATTTCTCCCTCGAGTTCCCACTCCCACTCCTTCCTGCTCCCTCCACCCTCCAGCTCCCTTTCTAAGCTCAGCCACTCCGCACAAGTCAGAATGGAGCTCAGCTCTTGCCTCTCCCGTGAGAAGCTACTGAATGAAATTTGTTCTCACAGCTTTCACTAAGGTACAGCTCTGCTTATCTCTGGCCATCCATACAAAGAATGTTATGAGTTCATCCTAGAAGGAATGAAGGCCACAAACTGATGAACCTCGAAAACACTATGCTAAAGGAACATAGCTGGGCCCCACGCTTTACGTCATGTTCTGTAGAAAGTACGTTAGCAGTCCCTGAGGGCTGGAGGGAGAGGGGAACTGCCAGTGACTACCAATGGGGAATGAGGTTTCTCTGAGGATAATGAAAATGTTCCTACATCATATAGCTGTGATCAATGCACAACTTTGTAAATACACTAAACACATTAAACTATAAAAAGATTTCTCATATATGAACTATACCTCAACAAAGTTGTTGTTCAAACTAAAAGAAAAGAAAAATAACAAGTTGGAAGTGGTGGCACACACCTGTAATCCCGGCAATCAGAAAGTTAAGGCAGGAGGGTCATGACAAGACCGAGGCCAGCATGGGCTATACAGCGAAACTCTATCTCAAAAAACTAAACTACACTAAATAATGATGATTTTTTTTTTAAATCAATGATAGTGAAAAGTAAATAGCTATGCATACTGACACACACCTAAAATCTCAGCTAGGCAGAAGGCTAAGGCTAGAGGTCCACAAGTTTGAGCCCAGTCTGGACAACTTACTGAGAACCTGTTTCAAAATAGAAAGGGCAAATAGCTATAATCCCAGCACTCAGGAGGCTGAAGCAGGAGGATCACCAAGAGTTCAAGGCTAGCTTGGGCTACACAGTGAGTTCAACGCCAGCCTGAACTACATAATAAGACCCTGTCTCAAAGCAAATAAATAAATAAATAAAATAAAAAGGGCTGGAGATGTAGTGGCGGGGTGCTTACCTAGCATGTCTGAGACCCTGGGTTCAATCCCAGTGCTACAAAACAGTAATAATAAGAAATTGATAAATAAAAGCCTGAAACAGAACTCAAAGCAGTAACCTCAAGTGCACTAGTCTTTTTGTCAAAGTTATGACAGCTACAACACAACAACCTCAGGCTGTATTTTGTGAGAATAAGGCACACCCAGAACCCTTCTGGGCTGGGGAACCTAGATATTGCACAAAAACCTTGGACATCCATGACAATTACTGGGGACCTTGATCTCATCTTTTGTTCGGTTGGTTTTGGTTTTTTGAAACAGGGTCTCACTATGTAGTCTAGGCTAGCTTTGAACTGACTATGTAGCCCAGGCTGGTCTCCAGCTCACAATCCTCCTGCCTGCCTCAGGCTTCCACTAGCTAGGAATCCAGATATGTGCCACCATGCCCAGCCCTGATCTAATTCCTGAAGAAAAAATAAAAGGGCAACTAAAACAAAAAATGTGGGGCTGGGGATTTAGCTCAGTGGTGCTGCCGCCCGCCTCGCCAGCACAAGATCCCAAGTTTGATCCCTGATACCAAAAAAAAAAAAAAACAAACAAACAAACAGAAAATGTGGCCAACGACCCAGCACTATAATTCATCAAACTGCCACCAGAAAACACCAGTGAGAGACTATCAGTCCTAGTGTGCTGTTCACAATCCACTAAGTAACCTCCCCACAGCAGGTATCCAACCATTCCCATTTCACAGATGACTAAACAGAGACCAGAGAGATTAAGCGATCTGCCCTGAAACCACAGTCATAAAGACAGAGACCTGGCTTGAAGGAGATAAATCCCTTAGCAAGTAGAATTCTAACATCCACACATGGACGTGAAAAGGAAACTCCTACTCAAAACCAGCTGAAACAAGAAAAACCTGTGCTGGCCACAGGACACAGGACCTGCTCTTCAGGTTTTCCTCTGGCTCACTGGATACACCCCATGTCAGCAGAACCCAGGAAAAAGAGGCAGCCAGGAAATGCTCGGACACTAGACACCATGAGATCCCATCCCCGCTTGCTGCTCACGTGAGTCAGCAGGGCTCACCTCGATGTTCTCCACGATTCTGGTCACTACAGAGGCAGTGACCGAGTACCAGTACGATTCCCCCTTCTGCTGGCGTTCGTTCTGCGAGGGAAAGAGCCAGTGTTAGAATCTGGGCACTCCGGGTCCCCAACACTACCCCTCTGCAACAGGCTCCCTGCCTTGCCTTCCACTTCTCCTCCAGCGCTTGCAGCAGCGCTTTCTTGCGCTCTCTCTCCAACAGCTTCTCCTTCTCATCATTGAAGTCCTGGACTTTCTCAGGGGCACCAATTAAATGGAGGCTGGAGATGGAGATCACCCAGGGGTCCACATGTGGGCGGTAGAAGGGGATCTGAAGGGTCACTTTCCCAATGAAGCCTGGGAGGAGGGGGACAGTCTTGTTAAATGCCTGTACGTGCTACTAACTCCAACCAATTCTTGGAATAGTTGCCTCTGTATTTTACCATTTATTTTTTAATTAAAAAAGCGGCAGGCTCTTGCATATGTGAAACAAGAGTTAAGGATGGGAACAAGGCATAATGAATTAAGCTGGAAAAAGAGCTCAGTGAGATTTTATCATACTACATGCACCCTCTCTCCTCTGGAAACTCTTCCCCAACAGGAACACACCTTAATCCTTGGGGTGTCTTTCTTCCCATGGCACCTGGGCAAGCCTCAGACACAAAAGTCATTCTTGTGAGTTACTAAGTAGCTGGTTGGTACGTATTCAACTAGGAATTGTCAGACCTGTACTGTGTCCCAGCTTGGATCCACACATCACAAGCTGAAACACAGTAACACCGCCTTGGCAGGCTACTGACACAAAATTCCGCGTGTTCATGAGAAACCAACAACCGCGCTGATGAGAAAGCTCAATGGCCTCATAAAATTATACTTATTTCTCAACTACTTCAATTTCTAGCCTAGCCTCCTAGAATTTGGCTTTCTTTAAATTTAACTTGTAAGGAGAAACACAAAATATATATGGATACATAAATGAAGAGCAAAATAGAAGAGACATAAAAAGGAAATAGGGAGAAGTTCAAATACCTCCCAAATCACGTTCCATTGTTTTAAAAATATTTCAATATATATGCTAATTTGTTTCATTCCTATTACTAGTTTGTCTTTGCTGAAAAGAAAGTCTTGTAATATTCTCTTTCTTTTTTATAAGGATGTTTTTGGTTTGCATCTTGTACTCTGAATAACTTCTTTGAAGATAATGGTGCACAGTGTAATAACAATTGTTACTGTTATTTGGTTAGGAAACTTTGCACTATTTTTTCATAAAATAAAAAAGTTTTAATTTAAAAGAGACAGGAATAATGTAGGCGAATACAGGAACTTTTCTCCTAGCTCTCAAAGATCCGCACAGCCCAACCAATATTCCACCTGAAGCAGGAGGACTCCAGTGAGTTCAAGGCCAGCCTGAACCATATAATGAGACCATGTCTCAGAAAAACATTAAAAAAATGGATTAAAAAAAATAAATTTTTAAAAGGCATAAAGTATTATTTTTGCACAAATATTAGAAAACCACTAATTTTTCCCAAAGAGCCTATCTTAGTCCTTTAGTATTTACATGATTTCTTTTGAAACTATCCAATATCATTCTTTTTTATTTTTGGGGCACAGGTTGGCTTTGAACTCACAATCTTCCTGCCTCAGCCTCACAGTGAGGGGATTACAGGTGTGTGGCTCCCCTACCAATGGTGGTCATCGTGCCTGAGGGTTCCCTCCCATTTGAAATTGTCAGTGTGTTTGCTTACAGTTCTGGCAGTTCACCTACCTGATCTCATTTCAGAAAGCCAAAAGCTTTTGCAAGATTTCTATTCTATTCACCTAACAACTTACATGCATTGTATTTGCACTTTATTGTAATACAAACACCCAAAATATAGGACAGACTGATAAAAACAGGCTACTGTTGAATGATGGCAGATACCTAAATATGTAGGGGCTAATTTTACAAGTGGCCATTCACTTGGGACTTTTATTCCATGACAGTTATTTCTTTCTTTTTAATTCTGATTTCCTTACCAACCTGATTCCTCCAAGATTCTTACAATAACTCCTAATATCTTTTGAGTATGCTGAGCACCACTGTGAGTTACTTTTAATGTACTAACTCATATATTCTTCTCAATAATCCTATGAAACAGGTACTGTTAGTCCTTCCTCATCCCCTTCCTCCCCTTCCTCCTTTGGAATCACATGCTAGGCAAGTGCTCTACCACTGAGCTATATCCCTAGCCCTATTTTCTATTTTAAACTTTTTTTTTTTTTTGGTACTGGGGATCAAACTCGGGTCCTTGCGCTTGCAAGGCAGGCAGCGGGACCCCTGAGCTAAATCCCCAGCCCCTCATTTTAAACTTTTAAGATGACTTTTATAATGGCACCATCTAGCTTGTCCAAGGTCACACATCCAGGAAATGGAAGAGAGGGAACATCCAAGCATGCTGTTGTAGAGCCCACCTCTTAATTTAACAAGAATAAACCGTCTCTCGGTAATATCTAGACTGAGTTCTCTAGGAGGAAGAGCCCTCTGTGCTAGAACAGATGTTCCCGGCTTTAGTAAACTGAAGAACCACTTGGGGTACTTGTTAAATATGCAAGTTTCCTCCACGTTTCTGATTCCTTCAGTCTGGGGGCCACCTGACCTTCCCACCACCAAGCCCAAGTTGTCCTGATAAAGCAGCCCAGAGTCCAGCCTAACTTCCTTACTTTCCCATCCTAGTCAAACAGATACCAGCTCTAGGCCCTCCATCTTCATGTCCCAAACAATTTGAGACTGAAAGCTTCCTCCCTCTCCTTTACTTCCGCCTACCAGCTTTGACTTCGAATGGTAATTCCAGTTCTTTCAAGGCATCTTTCTTTAATGGCAAGTTTTCTAACTCCACCGCACCTAAAAAATAAAAGCATCATCATGAAACATTCACCCACCAAATATGTACAGCATCAGAGGTTAAAGAGAAAGTTTTACCTCTAGAGCAGAGCTATAAAAGTTCAGGAGCTATAAAATGTCAAGGGCAGTGCTACCACCACCCCAGTGTTTCCTCTGTAGTGTTTCCTGCCATGTACATGACAGCAAGGCTTAGCAGCCTTCAAGAGGGCGGAAAGGGGCTGAGCATGGTGGCGATGGCCTGTAATCCCAGCACTAGAGAGGCTGAGGCAGGAGGACTGTCATGAGTTTGAGGCCAGCTTAGAAGACACAGCGACATGCTGTCTCAAAAAACAGAGACAAGGGTCTGACTTTCTGTAGTAGGCCAGATAGTAAACAGACTAGGCTTTCTGTGACATCTGTTGCCCATTCCACCCTATCCTACCCTATCTTATTCTACTCTAGTCTATAGCTGTTTAGAGACTTGGTTCTGTGTTGCCCAAGCTGGCCTCAAATTCCTGGGCTCGAGTAACCCTCCTACCTCCACCGCCCAAATACCTGTGACTATTGACAGATACCATTGTACCTGGCTTATTTATTTTTTCAAAAGCTGGGCTGGGAATGTAGCTCAGTGGTAGAGCACCTGCCTAGCTTGCCCAAGTACTCAGCAATTTCAAAAAAAGGTAAAAGCCATCTTGCTCAGGTCAAATACAGCCCAGGGGCCAAGGTGTAGACCCACAGCTTAGGCTACGATGCCCCATAGGAAAATCGACATCTGATTCACTAGGATGGCATGGAGGCTCCCAAGCCCATCCCCAAATCAGAAGCCCTGGACTAAAACACCAGAATCTGCCATTTCTAACCAATTTCTCCCACCCTCTTCTCCACCCCTCGTCAAAATGAGTATAGTACCCAAAATGCTCAACTGCCTACAATTTCAATAAAATCTGTCTTCAAAAAGTACTGCACTCTCTCTTCTGGAGACCGCCCCTCCCTGTTCTCTTCCACAGGTCCACTCACAGGAGTAATAACTGCTAGGAAGCAAAGGAAGGGAAAAGGCACCACTGGTGTCCTTTCCACCCCGAGCTCTTGTGATGTTATAACCCACAAGGGCACAGACAGTCGGCAAGTTCTCTCTCTGCTGCAGCCTGGATGTGAAATGTGCCCCACAGGCCCATGAGTCAAAAGCTCAGATTTCCAGCCCCTGGCACTACCGAGGGGCACAACCTTTCTAGCTAGAGAAATTCAGGTCACTGGGGTGCACCTGCCTTCACGGAGAGCACCAGAACCTGGGCCCTTTCCTAGCTCTGCTTCCCAGCTGCCATGAGATGAACAGGCTTCCACCAACAGGTACCAAGAGCAAGGGGGCCAAGCAACCATGAAATGAAACCTCTGAAACCATGAGCAAAAATGAACCCATCCTCCTTTCACACTGATTCTCTCGGGAATGTCACAGCAATGGAAAGCTAACACCCCCTGCCAACTCTGCAAGCCATTCACATTCACACCCACAGGTATCCTAGGCCTGTTCCAGCCGCACACTGCACACTGAGAACACTGGGAACACAATGAGAAAGGCAGGGTCCCCAGCCCCAAACTGCTGGAGGGACAGCAGCATTTTACTAAACAATTTGCACAAGAATTTCCAAGCCACTTAGAAATCTCAGATAAATAAATATTTCCACAAACAGGGACTAAGTAAGAAGAAGGCCCAGGAACAAGATGGACAAGCCTTTTACTTCAAAGACAAATAATGTAGGAAACTTAATTCTTTTTTCTTTTAAGTGACTGTTGAGAAGAATTCAGATCTAGCAATTTGGCAGATTCAAAGAAAATGCAGTCTACTTATTTTATTTTTATTTCTGCTGGCATGTATGTCTACAGAGGGTCCTCCATACAGATTAAGACTAACCAAAAGAAAAAGTTAACAATCCTTGCAAAACAACCCTATTTTCATATTTGGGGAGAAAATGTCATGAAGAAAAATATATAAGGTGGCATTTTCCTAGGGGAAACTGACTACACAAGAACAAGCACACGTTTTCTTCTGGAACCCAGGACCTCGCAGGCCAGGCGAGCATTCTACCACTGACCTACACACCCAGCCCTGTTTCTGGTTCTTTGGAAAAGCATCACTTTCCCTGGAAACAGCCTTATTTCTCACAAAGGCAGGGTTTCTCTGCCTGGGTTTCTCTGGCTTCTATACAGACCTCAGGAAATGGAAGGAGTTGTAAGCACCATACCCAATGAAAATTAAAGAAGCTGAAGAATAGAAACCATAAGAAAAGTTTTAGAAAATGTCCCAGTACTTGAGAGGCCAAGGCAGGAGAATCACTATGAGTTCAAGGCCAGCCTGGGCTACATAGTGAGACTTTTGTCCTACCAAAGCAAACAAACAACAACAAAAAAAGACGAAGTTGCAGAAAGGAGAGGGAACACAGGAGAGAATGAGAAGAATCAGCAGCCTACAGGAAACTAAGAGCAAAGGAGTCAAGCAAAACAACATGGCCATGGTTAAAGACCGAAGGCCTCCTACCCCAGCCTGTCTCCCAAAACTTGCCCTGCTCGGAAAGGTCCCCCCAGGAGCCAGGCAGCAGAGCAACCAAGGTAGGCGAATAATTTATAAGTTAAAATGTCATTCACTTATTTCCAGGCAGACAATTCATAGGGTTCTCATCTCAAACTTCCTCATCTCAGGTTAACAAAAAATCTATTCGCTGAAACCGGTGTTACTCATTTTTCAGCAATCTCTATGGACCACTGGATTCTCTTCCCTGTGTTCCAGATTATGTAAAGGCCCAGCCTGAGGTCCGGAGTTTGGGGGATAAAAGGGGAACGGAAGCTGGTCACAGTGGTGCATGTCTGTAATCCCAGCCACTGAGGGAGGCTGAGGCAGGGGAATCACAAGTACTAGTGCCACCTGGGCAACTTAGCAAGAACCTGTCTCAAAATTTTAAAAAAAATATAAGGGCCACAGTAAATGTAGCTCAGTAGCACAGCACCTGCTTGGCAAGTGCAAGGTCCTGAGTTCAATTCCTGGAACTGAAAAAAAGGAAATTAAATAAATAATTAATTAAAAATAAAAAGAGCTAGCCGAGTGAAAGGCACTGGATTCAACCCCCAGTGCTGCAAAAAGAGGGAGCAGCAGAGACTGAAGTTCCACATCACAAATATGCAGACAGGCCACAGGCCAAAGCTCAGACTGCCGTGGTACTGGCAGCCTCTGGCTTTAGCTCCAACCATTCCAGACGTGACCACGCCTTCTCAGCTCACACCCTGCACTCTCCTGGGAGTAGGGACTCACCCTCTGCCACCCACCACAGTCCTGCTCAGCCCACTCGAGATCTGCTTCCACAGCAGCTTGCCCAGTGTCCCATAGACAGTGAACCTGCTCCCTGCTGTGCAGCACTGCATTAAGCCTCTGACTCCAGGACGATTCCACAGAGATGATCTTTATTGCCATCCACTTTGCCTCCCCAACAAGAGGTCAGCAGCTCAGGGAAAAGGATTGGCGGTGGAGATGAACTAACAACAACAGCACCCATAGCTAAGAAAGATCTTCCTACCCGCCAAGCACTTTAACTGCACTCTCCTCCCACCCCTTATGGGTGCTGTGACTTGAACCCAGGGCTGGCCACCCCCCCATACACACACAATTTCAGACACATGATTGCAGAGTTTGGAATCATGGCATGTCCGCATGAACTCCATAGATACAAAGATCCAAAATTCAAAATGCTCTGAAATCATAAATTTTGGAGCACCCTGTCTGCATCAAAATGTGTCGGATTTCAGGCCATTTCAGATTCTGCAGCATTTCAGATCAGGGATGCTCAACCTGTGTTAGTATCTCAGTTTTTGAGATGAAAAATAAAACTTAGAGGACAATTTTTCTTAGAAATCATGAAGCCACAGCCATGGAGCATGGTGGTGCAGGCCTGTCATCCCAGCACTCAGGAGGCTGAGGCAGGAGGGTCACCACGAGTTCAAGGCCAGCCTGGACTAAATAGTGAGACCTTGTCTCAAAAA